AAAATGAAGTAATTCACATATTAAAATGATCAACTCCATATTTTTAATGCTTTTAAATTTTACTGCTGGGCCACTTGATTGATTTTTTACGTGCATAATTTCATAAAATATTTTTATTTTTCATTTCATTTAGTTAATTATATTGTCAAATGAACTGTTCAATTGATAGTCCCTATTTCTAATACTGCAACTCAATAATTTACTCCTATTCCTTTTACGTTCTCTTTTAAATTTTCCTGGTTTCCCTGGGACGCAGTATCTTTCACAATATCACCAAGCGTGCCGAGTGGGGCGACTAAATATGTTTGCCGGGGTTATCAACGCTCCTAATTCATTTTGGTCCGACGTGTTATTCAACCCAAGCTCCTCTCACTCTCCAGCCTTTGAAGCATCCGTCGCCTAACACTGTTGGATTCCTAACAGAATCCCTTTGACGAACATAACCGCAGGCCCATGGTTACATATACCAGTGTTGCATTTGTCGTGCTCGGAATTCAATATGGAAGGGAACAACACGACAACAGTGTTAATTGGTACACGCTAGAAAGTAATGTTGCTAGTCCAGTTAAACCCTTTGAGCTACTTTGAAGTCTCACTCTCGGGCACCTTGTGAACTGTCTAATATCTTTACGTTAAATTTCTTCTTAAACACTCGTAATTTTATATTTTGTGTAAAGGAAGTAAAATTAATTTTGTATGCATTATACGTTATATTCACAGTAGGTAAATAACTTGATATTTAGGAAATTAAATGTTATATTTAAAAAAAAAATACTTTATTCAGAAGATAGAATAATTGTAGTAAATATGAGACTGCATTTGTTTGGTTTAATAATGGGGGATTGAATGGAACAAAGTTAAGGATCTTTTAATTGTGATGCTCGCACCTAAGTACGAGTAAAATTATCATGATATTGTTTAATTGAAAAATGAAGTAAATATTACCATGTATGAAATTAGTATTTTATTACACAATTATATATTTATCACTTTGTTTCACAATTGTATGATAACATTTTAAAGAATTAATCTTCGTGGATGTACGAAGAAAACTCTCGCTGATGAAATAGACCGAAGTAGAGAGGAGATTAAACGATCCTTAACTAATCCCGATCTCTTAAAATATGCGCTGCGTTACCCGGTAATCCCACCGTAAAGTATCTCAGCCACATGCAGGTTTTCTTTAATGTTCTCTTCTAGTATAAAAAATGTTTATCTGCGAAATATGTCGGGAAATTTAATATTTAATGCCGACGGCAACACGTACGAAGCGATTTCACAGCAGTTGTTTTATGGCCTCGCTGTATCTTTATTTTTCGACCTTTTTCCCTTTTATCTCCTGCATTCGGCTTTCTGGCATGCGTTTCTCATGCATAATGGAAATGTTTATAGGTATGCATCAAATTGACTGTTATCAAACCTTGAATCAATGAAACAATATTTTTCTTCGGCAAATTGTGATCTTTTAATCGTTTACTCTACAGTGTGGAATTAGACATGTATCCGTTATGTCAAATTGAATTCAGTGTATGTGAATATTCATTGAATGGGAATATTACATTCGTTTACAGACATTAAACTTCTATAGCGAATACACACATAAAATAAAGGCATCGTTGCTTTATCTAATGAAAAGTTAAGAGATGACGAAGTTATCTTCCACAGCATAGTTGCGAAATAAATTTTAATGTAAGGGATTATAAATAATTCTTTAGTTAAACATTGGCATAAAGTTTCTACAATACTTTTCTTTATTATTTCGTGTGAAATTATATATATATAATTTCATTTATTTAAATATCACTTCGATGGTATTTACAATGCTTGTCTTCTACCGTCCAATACGAATAACATACTTTTCTCTTATAAAAGGCTCTGCTCCGTCCACTCTACTGTCTCGCGCATGCAGAATTCTAAAACGTGAATCGTTCGAAAATCGATTGTGTAGGAGATTAAATCGTGAACCCGTGAATATAGCTTGACAGATAAAAATGCAGAGAATTTCGAATACTTCCTCTTGATTAACATCCTCGGTTGTTTCCCGAAAAATGAGCGTTCTAAGCGCTTCCGCGAGAAATGTAGATCTGTTCGTCGCAAAAACTTGTTCAAGAAAATCGCTTCGAAATTTAAGGTGTCCGAAGACGGATGGTACAACAACGCAGAAGATGATTCTACCAGTAAAATTGAATTGAAACTATTGAATAAACTTTTTCGTATGTGAATCCATTTTCGGGGAAAATGCACTATACTCGGTTATTTTAACCCCTTTTCCTATGATTTCTTTTACAATGGTGCTTGATAAAGCTTCTTTCTCGTTAATGATTTATTAAAAAGCGTAAAAGGTTCAATATCGTTCGCTTCGTCTACGATAATTCCGGAGATTAACGATAAATAATAAAAAATTAATGTTTAATTTATATTCAGCTAAGGTAAATAGTATTTAGATTTGTCAAATTTAAATTATCACTCATCCTGAGACACCCCGTATATTCTGCGGTTCTTGACTTCCTGGTTGTTGGAAATACGTTCTATGTAATCCTTCTGTTAGCAACCGTGTAGATGAGTATATACTCATTGTTGTATCTTCATCCATGCAATTTGTTATATTCTCATGAAAATTTAACAAAACTACTGTCGATCTTCATTCTTCGAATACGTTTATATTAATTTGTGCTTCGGTAATAAAACAATTCATACAAAAATATTGCGACGAAACGAAGTATTTTTTAAAATAAACTTTATTCGGTTGTTATAACTACATGATTATTTTATAAATTATATCAACAAAAATAAGTATTTTGAAACAGATAAATTTTATTTTGACCAATTCTAAGACGCGAGAATTATATCAAATAAAACAAAAATGTTAACGGCTCGTAAAACAAACAATAAATTTTCTAAAGTTCGACTCTCGCTTTTCAATATTTGTAACATATTCTAACACAGAAGATCGAACAAACATACTGTAGGAGCAGAATTTCAACCGAACTAAGTGTTATTTAACCAGTTAACTGCGTTTGACGTGTATATATAAATCATCTTAAAACTCGAAATGACACTACCCTTTTCAACGGTGAATTAGTTATTTTTCTGACACACATGTAATTCTTCTTCGTTTTGCTTTAGTTTTTCCTCAGAATATGTTATACATTCACTTGCTCTGCGTTTGACGAGTATATACTTCAGTGCTTGACTTTATTGCGCGCACAATGAAAGCTGTTTTGAAACTAAATTTTACAGTTAACTGTTTAAAGAATAACTATTAAACAACGGACTGTGAAACCGTGGGCATAAAATAAATGGAAATTCTGTGGATTTGAAACTACTTAATTTGACGTTGTTGCCTCGATGGCTATCAAACGAGTGCCCTAAAAGGGGCACTGTTTAGTTGGAAGACCTCCTTTGTCAGCGTGACTCTCGCTCTGTTTATTACACCCCGAGAAAAGAGAACACTTTCCTTTAACCTGTTAACTGTGGAATTTAGTTTCAAAAATCTGTCGTTGGCGCGCAATAAAATCGAACAATCAAGTGTGTACTTGTCAAATAGAGGACGAATGCACCTAGGGTATATTTGAATAAAAAACCAAATACAAAAAAAGAGAAATATTATCCAAAAAAAGTAAATAATTCATCGTTGAAAGACTCATTATTTCAAGCTTTAAAATGAAAACGCAATTAAGTCAAACGCAGTTAACTAGTAAAGAAGACACGCATTAACGAAACGCAGACGGTGAGCGTTCGACTTTTCTCTCGTTTAGATTTTCTTACAAGCATTGTAGTTGTTAACGTAAGACTTGACATGTTCATGTGTTTAATGCGTCCTTATCGGAATTTTCTGGCGGTACGGTCTGGTAGGAAATGCTCTGTTCGGGAAATAGTTGCCATTGTCCGAAGTCAATTCGCCGGGCCATTACCCAACTTCTCCAGGAGCGACGCATTGAGCTAGAGCCCACCATCACATTGCTTATCAGCGTGTTAGCGATGATAATAACGGGTACGGTTCTGTGAGCGACGTATCGTTGCATAGATCGATTTCCCCATCATGTGATACGACGAAAACCGTCGGCTCGTTAATTCACCCGCTGATAAGGGCATTATGGGCGATTCGTAATGGACCTACGAAACCTTCTTGCCATCTCCTATATTAAAGCCTGATGACGTTTTTGATCTGCTAAATGATAAGACGATCAGCGAAGTTTAACAGTGCAGTTCACAAGCTTCAAGTTCGTTCAGTCTATATGTTAAAAAAACTTTAGAAACCATTTTAGGGGAATATGGAAACGTAGAAATGTGAATACAGAAATGTTTAACACTGAATACACCGTAATCGGTAAAATGACCGGTTTTAAAATTTGATTGAAAATTTTGCGTTTCCTTCTGTTCAATTAACTACTTATAAATTTTAATGTTGATTAATTAATCAGTTTTCCCATTTTTGTTCGTTCTGTTTGTTTTGGTTTTCACCAAGAAAAATGTTTCGTCCAATTTGTTTACCTTTATTTTGTAAGCAGTTATTTGACTCGTTACGGTAGGAATAGGTATTTACATAGTACCGGTACATTTAGTGTTAAGATTATTTCATGTACTTACTTAATAAAGAAATATAAGGATTCAAGGGATAGTTTATTTTTAACACGATCGATAATGGAAAAATCAGGGTTTGATTTTGAATAAGTTATAAATATATTTGAAAAATCTTCTGGAGAATATTTTTGGCTATATATAAATATTGTATAAACATAAATAATGGGACTTTCGAAGTTTAATACGAAATTTCTATTTTTTGTCAGTTTTAAGCGGTGTTGGTTTTTCGACAAAAATTTTCAATCGAAAAGTTTAAAATAGTTACCGCATATAAACTAATCTTTTCAGCATTTTTTTTACAAGATTAAATTACAAACTGTAACATCCGATAATTCGATTTTTTCTATAACTGCATTCTCCATCCGGCTAAAAGGCTAAAAGGTTGAAACATGACACAAAATATTTTCTCTTGGCAAGCTATCGGACGATCCATCGTCGGCTTAATTTGCTTCAAAGGCACTTTCGTCCGCCATATCCGTTTTCAATATACGCGTCACTTGAGTCACTTAAAAATGTTTCAACGGGGATCGTGTTAACAAGATATAGGACAGTAAAAAATTTTCGCAATCAAGAACAGTGCTTTTAATTTAAGGATCTTTATCTTAAAAGTTTCCAATTAAATGTCCCAAGATTCAGTGTCCCGGATAAAGAGTAATTTTATTAACGCTAAAGATCTCCTTCCCAGCGATTGAGTTTGAAAATTGCTTGAATATAGCCGACTATATTACCATTTGAATAATTTTCCATCGTCCTGACGATCATGAATAGGTCATGAATTTTTCAACATTCCTAAGACAATTCGGTGTTCTCCATTCACCGATGTGATCCAAAAATTGATAGAATCTTAGGGGTAACATAAAATCCGTCGCTCTGCGTCTGGAGCAAATTTTCTCGGCCGAGAATGGAGCCTAGTAAGATGGAAAACTGCTCGAGGGTTTCCACGTGTGTTTCTGTGAACAATGGCCATTGTCCGGAGGCAATTCGCGGAGCTGTTACGAAAGTTGTCGTACTTACACGGTGGTACGGTTCCCGATTTTCGGTGAAACTGCTCCCGAAACGGATTGATGTGACGTTTCCGTGGGAACGATCCGCTATTAGCGCCAATTTCCTACACCTATGCCACCATTAAGCCATTCTCGGTGTTGGTGACTCTTTGTTTCGACTGAGGGAACTTCTGTACCGATCCGAAACAAGAGTCATTAGGTCCGCCTGGTTTTCATAGATCGCCGGCCGCGAAGATTTAAAGTTCAATAATTGCACCGGAAATTACAGGGCATAAAGCTGTTCGATATTATTCTGTCACTGTTCCGTGCCAGATGTGTCTATCTATTAAAAAGTCGGTAGAATTAATGGACGAAGTTTCGTCATGAAAGAAACCTGCAGCCTAGAAAGTAATTGTAACAAGTGAACCATTGTGCTGAGTAATTGATGAAACCTAATGGGAGAAGGTAATAGTCCAAATGGAAGAAAGGTAGGAAAAGCTGGGGATCTATGGGACGAGAACTTTGAATATCTTGGCTCGCGCGGCTAACGTCCTCGATCAGTGAAAATTCAACTCCCTCTGCGAGGTCATGGCTGGAAGCTTTCGGTGTCGGTGAATAATCGATCGATTTAAAAATTGAAGTTTCCGTTGAACGAAAGAAGGGTGGAAGAGCACTTGCGAAACGGAACGCTCGAAACGGCTCTTAACCATCGCTATATTGTTATACGAAGCATGGTTTACAACAATGCTGCGATATATTTCGTGCTGTTCAACCCTTAACTGATCAGGTGAATTTCAATGCATTTCAATCCTTGCTCCTTTCACAATAAAATTTCATCTTCGTAACCAAGCATACTAATTGGTCCACCGAAACAAATGGTACCGTTAAAATTTAATTTATATCACATATAGTAAGACCAAGGTAGTTCAGCCACGAAGAAAAATTGATTAGAATTGATACTGTTAAGTGAATGAAATTGTGAAAAGACTTTAATAGACTGATTCATTTGTTCTATGTACACAAGATATATTCCACATCGACAGTTATGAAAACAGTGTAATTGTGTTATAAGCTTCGTTTTGATACGCTTGAAGTTTTATGAAAATGTGGTCGTATCCCACACTCACCCTATAGCAACATTGTCACCTAGCGAGGAAGATCTATGAAGTCTCTGAGACTCCAGCTCGACAGTTAAGGGTTAACTTCCGTTCGTTTGTTTCCGCATTATACGTGCGAAGGAACCGACCCGACGAGAAACAGCTAGAGACAGCGTAGGAACGGACGACACTGGCAAAGGGAGTCAGCGCGCGCTGAGGAAGCTCCGTTTCAACCCCTTCGTCCGACATGACAAAAGGGGTGATAGAGTGTCGGCGGGGACGTAATGAGAGCCATACACGAGAGCCCTAATGCGATTACCCTCGAGGGCTTCAGCCAACTATCCCTGAACTCCTCGGATTTCTAGCTATTGCTCCGTTCCAGCTAAATATTCCTTACGATTGGCCTGCGAAAAGTTGACGATCTATAGCTCCGTTACTACGTTTCATTCTCCTGGGCGCTGGAACCATTAGATTTGTTAGAAAAATTTAATTAACTTTTTTCTTTTTTGCTGTTATAAGGGTGGATTATTGTCAACGTTAGAGTTATTCAAAATAAGTGTTGGATCTATCAATAAATAAGGATCAATATTCGTGTTCAATGTTATTTAGTGAGATATTTAGTAATGAAAGGTATAGGCAAATTTTAAGTTAGCATTTGTTTATGGATAGTAGTTCTAACGTCAGAATAATTTATTCTTTGTAATAATAGAAGTTAATTTTTTCCCTTTTGTTGTGCTTTTAATTACTAAATAAAATAGATTGTGAATATTGTCTGTTATTTATTGGTAGATTATATGTCTTTATCGGCTTGATTGATGGTTTCAAGCGGGACGTGAAAAAAACTTAGGAACAGGGTGTTGCAAATGCGGTTAGAACGTACGTTAGTTATTTATCGACGAGCGAGGTAATTGGATTCCTCTTTAACTGTTGCGGTCCGAAGAATCGATAGAAGCATTAGAGCAATGTCCCCACGGAATAACAGCTACGGCGGAACTATTCATCAATTAATAGGACTGTCTCTGCTGTACATTTGCGGTTGTTAATGAAAATTCCATCGACCATCTTGTTACCCGGACAGCCGACGCGAACTACGATTGTGGGACATCATGTAGCAGATGTATATCAGGCGAATGTATAAATTACGCGCCAGTTGTTTCCTAATGGAGTTATTACTTTATTTAGAGTTTAGATGACAATAAGAAAATAGTTAAGGCGGCAATATTCGTGTCGCCTTAACTCCATGTAACACTATAGTAATATATCTAACATTAAAATAACTAATTGAATTTTTTTCTCCATTTTACAATTTAATTAATCAATTCTATTATTAGTAGACCACATTATTTACATTTTGGTTTAATCTATCATATATTAAGTCCAAAATAGAATCTATTAATTTTGCATCAATCGAGTGTCAATCAAATTGTTATAAATTGATCAGTAATTAATGTTCCGCAGCATCAATAATATTCGATTACTTACATTTTACTTTTTGCTACTTTTTTAAGAAAAATCACTTCAGACGAAATCAGTCTTTTAAAATACGAAATCGAAAGTGATCAATAACGGCATCTTACTTGTCTTCATCAATAAAGAACGCAACATTTTAAACAAACCGGCGAAGAACGAAATTTACTAACTTCAGATCTATACCAGGCATCATAAATTAATGCAGTTGTATAAAATTTCAAACTATCAGCAACTTTTAACAATATCACACTTCAGTATCTCTTTAATGAATTTGCTCACGAGATAGGTTTTGATACACTGAAAGGATCTACGACTGTTCCTTTAGCATCCTCATCGATCAATAAAGCAGCACTCCAAAGAATACTGTGAACAACTTAATTTTCTAACATCGCATGTATTGCGTGGCAATGTTATCAATGTAAATTAGCCTATTTAACATTTCAAACTATTAGCAACGTTTAATAATATCACTCTTCAGCATCTCTTTAATCGATTTACTTACGAGATAGTTTTTGATTTACCAAAGGGATCTACGACAGCTCCTTTAGGATCCTCATCGATCAATAAGACAGCGTGGTAAAGAACGCTGCAAAGTATCCGGCGCGACGCGGAGACTGGTCTGCTCGTACTGGCAGAACGACGGTAAAAACGGCCGTGAGTATCGGAGACACGTTGCAGTTTGACGCTCGATCAGTGTCCTTCCTTCTGGGGCTGGCCTGAAAGGCCAGCAGGAAACGGTAAATATTTCCCGGAAGATGCATCGCGCGCGCTGGATAAGATTGGATCTTTGCCAGTCGCGAATCGGGAACGTTGACCCCCCGCGTATCTCTCACCGGGGTTAGCTTATGGTTTCAGGGGATGCCGTCCTCTTCCCGACCCCCGCGTTTTCTCGACTTGTCCTGCTAATACACCGTCCGCCTCTCGTAAATTACAATTATCGCGGCCGAGTCTGGTGGAGGGACGTTCCTCTGCTGGAACGCTGCCTGATAATTAATTTCGCGGAAGGGACTGCGCGCCAGGCGGTGAATAGTGATCACGATTCTACAAATGGAGAACTTCATTTTTTATCCTGCGAATTTCACCGTAAATGCAGGGTTCAGTGAACGCTTATCGCGCCACCTGAGCGAAATACTATCCTGCGGTACCGTGTTTCGGGGAATAAAGTGCTTTCCTAGTGAAAAATTAAGGCGCAGCTACTGAACGTTAATTACAGGAAGAACAGTTTGAAAACGACTCAACTGGATGAACGGTTAAGCCAAACAGTTACAGTGCTTTTGAACGAAATTTACTTGAAAACAGTGTTAATATTTTTTTGAGAAAAAAACATTTTGTTACAAATTTCAATCGCCTGTTTTTAATGGAAGGGAAGTTATGAAGGTAAAATAAATTACCAGATTTCGTTATACTTTCCTCATTTAATCGTATGAAAGAATTCTAATAAATCATATTAGCTTCTAGAAACTTTCCTAATATTTCAATTGAAAAAAAGAAAAACAAAAAAAGAATTTTTCCTCTTCCTTTTTAATCAATTTTAAAATTGACATCGTTTATATTTGCACAATTTAAATAAGAAGTCTTAAGCTAAGTTTCATTTGTGTCTAAAAAGCTTGCTTACATTTCACGGTCTCTTAGATCCTAATGTTTTTCACGAATGATCGCCTCGCCAACTGACCGCTGCCATTTCGCCACTCCGCCTTCCATTTCCGTTTTCCTTATCCCGTTGCCGGAAAACCGCGCAGCATCGTAGTTAGCCGTGGCAACTTCTATTACCTGGAATCTAGTAAACTGTTAGTCTTGCTCATTTACTTCGGATAAAAGTTGTGTAAACGCGTTCGATTTCGTGGGAAAGTGGCTTACCGTAAAACGCGGAGTTTTCGAAATTTTTGAGTAAATTTCTTTGTCCCACAATTCCCTCTTCTGAGATTATATTTAATGGACCCGGTTAGGTCGGTCTACAGCTGGATTTCTGTAAAACGCCATGAGCTGTTACCTTTTATCGTTGAAACGGACGGCGACGATGATATTAATTCAACGAGGCCTCTGGGACGGCTTCATTGTCGCCAAGCTGAGTGAAACGTCTGAAGCTAATGACAATGGCAGATAAACACCTAGTAACACGCGGCCATTAGGGCTCGATTGTTAGATCCCCAACTGTGGACCTGTACTGTCCACTCACTATTATTAATAACGGAGAGCTGTAAGACCATAACGTAAGGAACAACAATTTTCGCACTTAACACATTGTTGACTCGCAATTTAACGCAGAAGCTATCCCCTGTCACTGGTTATTATTTCGTAATTAAATATGAAAGTGAAACAATCTAAATAAACTTTTTATGTATTTATATATAATAAATTGAAATGGAACTTTGAAGATATCTTTTATATAACTTTCAATATTCTGCTTTTGCAATATTCTATATTGCTCTGTGTTTCAAAAATTAAAGTAGCTAATGCAAATGCAAACACGAGTTAACTCGTGTCCGGTAGGCAATGTGCTAAGTCAGATGCTAGTAGATGAAGCCGCGTTAACATCTTGCAGATCGGTGAATTTGTTTACAGAAAATATCTTCCCACTTTAATATGTATACTGTATTCACGTATCATATGCTAAAACGATTTAAATGATTTACACTGACGAATACAATATAGAACGCTCTTATAAAATTCTATATTGTTTTCAGGCATAAATTAATGCAAGCGCAAATACAACCAAACTCATGAACAACTCGGACCGATAAACACGAGTATAGTGGTGATCAGTCAGCAAGGTCTTAACTACCTCAGTCGTTAGAAAAGTATGTACGAATCGATATATGGATGTATTTCAACATATCCTATTTTGTTTATTGTTTAGGAAATGATTTTATTAGGTTATATGCATATTTGACATGTCTTGTGGTGTCCTATGATTCGTTTAATTTGCGTGTATTTAATAAAAGTATTATTTATTAAAAGCCCAACATTATTTATAAAGAATACGAAAATAGAGAATATAAAAATTTAATACGTATCGGAGGAAGCGTTCAGCCGTCTCCAGAGGTTTTATTGTCATCTTTATTCATAGGGTAGTTTTCATGGCACTCAATGGCTTTTCACATTTTCCGTTTTCAAGTGAATACTGCTATTAGTTTGTATTTGATGAAGAAATAAGAATGTTTATTATTTGTTTAATATCCTTTAATCTTTACGTTCTTTTTATATAGTAATCGCTTTTATACATCTTCATAAATAGTCTAATTAAAATGTAAACTAAACGAACGAAGTATTATATGGTATTTTAGAATTGCACTAAAATACATTAGGAGTAATAAATGGTATTTAACAATTCTGTAAAACAATAGAAATTTATACAAATATAAGTGTAAACAGTGCAGAATGGTTAGATAATGCCAATCTTTTCATTCTTTTTCTTTAAAATCATTTTTTTAGCTATAATAGTTATGATTTTGATCAAACATTTTTACCATTGATAGAAGTACAGACTAAGGAGCTATTATTCTAGCATTCAACGCAGATGCTACATAGTAGACGGAGCTTAACACGTTGTGTCGGTTTCTTTGACAACAGCTTCATACTTATTTGTATGATAAAAGGCAACAATCATAATATAAAACAAGAAACTCTGATTCTCGTATTCAACGCAGACGTCAGTAAATGAAGTCGTGCTTAGCGAGTCGGTTTTTTGCAACAGAGGCAGAGTAAGCGAA